TGTATCTTAAGCCTGTCTTCTGGGGTGTTGGCTATTCCTGCCAGCTTGGTGTCATCTGCAAATTTCATGAGTTCCCCATTTATTCCCACATCCAAATTATTGATGAAGATGTTAAAGAGTCGTGGGCCTAAAACAGAGCCTTGGGGTACTCCACTGCACACTTCCCTCCATGTAGATGCAGTTCAATTGAGGACTACACATTGAGTGCAGTTGGTCAGCCAGTTACGATTCCATCTGATGGTGATGCCGTCCAACTAACATTCTTCTACTTTATCTAGTAGTAGGTTATCAAATGCCTTACTGAAGTCCACAAGTTACACATGCAGGGAGATTGGTTCACATCAGCAAGTGTAAAAGCACATTGTAAACTAATATTTTCTCAACCTGATTATATTTTTAAAAACATCATATTTATAGCTGAAAGGAACTAATAGTTTACTCTTTGTCTTTTCAGGTTGTTATGCAAAGAACTTTGGCCCCAAAGGATTTGGCTATGGTCAAGGCGCTGGTGCTCTTGTTCACGCTCAGTGACACATTAGCTGTTTGGCACACAGAGGGTTCCCTTTTTCCAAGGCACAACTTAATATGCTACCATTTACTGTGAAATAGCTCTTGGCTTATGCAACTGCTTTTCCTTAGGTACCGCATGTAATCCAGTCTTGAAGCAGATTTTTAAATAACCTGTCAATCAATTTCAATAAAGCTTTGTATTTAGACACTCATTTGCATTGCAATGTCTGGTGGAAAAAATAATTCACATTCTATTGCTTAAATAACTGCAAGGGTTCCTTTTTAAAATAAATTAGACACATCATGCATATATTTTATAGCATCATAGAAAATTGGTGTAAAAGTATGCTAATGTAATACAACTATGTTTGGCTGCAAAATGTAAGTGTTCCAGAAGTCCAGGAAAAAAGGTGTGATGTCCCTAGCATCCTCCAATTAAACAGTTTCTCTTGCAGAAAATAAAACAGAAATTACTTGTGTGCATTGAGTTTATAATTTTAAAGACTTTTGATATGAAAAAGATCCTCTGAATTATAATTCATTCTAATTAATATTCAATGTCAGCATTCTGAAGAGACTAATTAAACGAAATGTTTAAAAATCTCATTGGCTAAAGTGTCATATTAGCAACAAATAATAGGGTTAAATATCTTTTAAAAATAGTTTGGTGTAATGTTTAAAGGCACTAAGCTAAAAACTGGGAGACCATGTAAGAAGGATAAGGCAAAGCAAATCTGAAAATGTTGCCAAGAAAACTGCAGAGACTTGTCCAGACAGGCCCAAAGTCAACGTTGACTTGCAGAGATTTCCCTCATACCAATTTTTTTTAAAAAAAATCTTAAAAATTAAGACTCAAGCTAATCTTGACTTGATGGTATAAAACAACAAAGAAAATTGCCCTTGATGTTAGGAAACCTCAGCTAGACTTCTACTCCTTAACATATTAACTGATTGAGTGATTAGTCGCCATCAGGTCTGGTGCCGATGCTTAGTAACCAGGTAGAAAAAACTGGACTTTTATTACCTATCTAATAGGGACATTGAAACAAAGTCGAGATTCCATTACAATCTGGATTTATGTGTGCAAGAAATAGGTCATTTACAGGATGTTTCTGAATTCAGCCAAATTAGGCATCCTATATCTAGATCGCTCAAGTCTAAATCTAAATGATTACTCAATTGCAGCAACAAGCTACAAGTTTATTTATATTTCATTGCTACCATCAAGTGAAATCTATATTTTTATTGCCCAGATAGAATACACTCAATAAAGCGTAACCTGTGACCAGCACAGAAATAGAATCTGAATGTGGAAATGGTATGGTAATGTTAGATACTAAGGAAATCTTGCATATTTAATTAGGAATATTTTGAAATAGATATTGAATTTACTAGGATATACATTTGCTACCTCATTAATTTTTCAGCCCTGTCAATAGAATCCTTGCAATGTTTGACACACGTACCAAACACAGCCTCTACAGTGTTTCTCATCCCATGTCAGAAATGCAGGAACTAGAAAGGGGGAAAGAATTAACTTAAATTTAATAATATTAAAAACTTTAATAAAAACATAAATGTATATAGTTCTAGCCCAATACCAGGCCACATTGATGGCAGGGATATTTCTGATTAGTAAGTCATTCTGTGTGCATTTTGGCTCCAGGAGACACTGTGAAAGATGAATGGTTTTAATAATGCCACATTCGCAGTAAATATCATTGTTCTCTGGCAGAACCCCCATTTTTCCATGTGGTCTTTAGTTCTAGCCAAACCATGCTCTATTTAAACATTTTCAAACCATCCACTCCTCTAAACTTCCAGGCAACTCCTCAAGTGGTTCTATCCAATTATGAAGTCGTTTATCTTGGAGTTCCATTTTTAATTGTTCTATTTGAGGAGTAGTAACAATCTCCTTAATGCAAGCTAAATACCATATTTTTCAGATTATAAGACGCACCAGAATATAAGATGCAGCAAGGTTTTGAAGAGGAAAATGAAAAAAAAAAGGTTTTACACTCTGCAACTCTCCCCAAAAATGGCTCGTTTTTCTCAAAAACGGGCCCATTTCCCCTCCCCCAAAAGGTATGAATAGCCTTTAGGGAGCTTGCAGAATGCTCCTGGGGGAGGAGGAATGAGCAAAAAAGGCCCATTTTTTATTAAAAAAAAGACCATGGTAGCCTTTAGGAAGCTTATAGAGTGATCCTGGGGGCTGGGGGGGGGGTGAAATTTAACAAAAAAGGGCTGTTTTTTTGCTCATTTCTGCCCTTCCCAGCTCTCAGGAGCGCTCTAAAAGCTTCCTAGAGGCTATGCACAGCCATTTTGGTGAAGGGGGCGGGGTTTCGGGAGGCAAAAATTGCTGTATTCTGTATATAAGACGCACCCAGATTTTCAGCCTCTTTTGAGATAAAAAGGTGCATCTTAGACTCCAAAAAATACGGTAGCTCCTTTTTGACTTCAATTTCTTTTGTAGGGGGTACTTGGCCAAATAATGGATTGTCAGATCATGTAATACCTTTTCTTATTTCACATCTTCTGCCACACTCCTAACACCTGGCATGGCTATTCCCATCAAGATATATAGTTTGCCAAGCAGAGTGGGGCACAAATGTCCAGTAACAATGTGCCATGTATCACTAAATGCCCTGACCATCTGTGGGGCAGGTGTACTCTTCCAAGTAACACAATGCAAGGGCAGCCATTCATCGATAATGTGGTGGGCACATCAAGTAGTGCTAGCCAGCTTTCTGAGGAGATTAAGGGTTGAGATCTTTTGCTTTAAATTGCAACAATGTCTTTTAAAGGTTGATGTTCGATCCAGGGTAATGCGAAGGTAACGTGGCATCTCACAATGTATCAGACTCATTCCATCCCAGTTAATATAGAGGCTACGTCTAGCCTGCCTGTTTTTGAGATGGAACGCACAGACATTAGTTTTTGATGGATTAGGTTTTAGTCCATTATCATTACAGTATTCTGACATATTCTTAAGAGCTAGAATAAACTTGTCTTCCACCTTAGTTCTCTAAGCAGTAAGTGCTAAAGCATCAGCATAGATGAAGGACAATATATCAGGATCAGCAGGTTGATCATTGATATATAATTTGAATAACAGAAGAATGCAAAAAATGTCTGTAGTGTCACCCTTGTATTAGGCTCATAATAGTGAAACACGTACATTGTACTTTAGGTGCATCACTGAGCAGAGAATAGTGCATTGTCTCCCCTAACTGGGTGTGTCATTCTACTCAAAACTGGCCTGGCTGATCTTCACAATTACTTTTTTTAAGGAACACTATTATTTTGCAGTGTCTTAATGTAATATCTTAATTTGTAATGTCTTAGAGCAGTGATGGCGAACCTATGACA